TCAATTAAGTCAATTCATTATGCATATGTGTGAATTGGGATAAGCTTTAATCAAAATCATTTAATCGCTAACTAATTCAATTAATGACAGCAAAAGAAGCAAATGTATATTACTCCTACCCAAATTTCAGTTTTTACTGATTAAGTAACTCTTCTCTCAATTCTTATTCTTAAAAAATCATCGAATTAATGATCAAGTAATTCAAGGTGAGGAAGAAATGAAATAACATTAATTATAAATAGGGAAAATTGCAACCAAGGTACCAACATTTCATTTAGGAGCAGATTTGACACAAACTTTTTATTTGTGCTACACTAGATACCAAAATGAAGATTTCCATTTGTTTGACCCAAAAACCGTTAGTTGACTCCAAAAATGAAAAAAATGTAGCCTCCGTTTGTTTCCTATTCTTTTCTACTAAAAATGAAAAATATGATCGTTACACATGATATCAAACCTTTAAATTTGAATTTCTATCTCTTGTGTGGGGTCCAATAACGGCTATATTTTTTATTTTCATAAAATAATGCGAATCAAACGGATAATTTCAACCAAATAAGGCCCCTATTTGGCCCCCAATTTCGGGTATTGAAAATTTTTGGAATAATGATTGATAGGTGAATGTGTGGTAGAGAAGTAATGAGAAGATTTTGATTTGTGTGTAATATTATTTTATTTGATGAATGTGTGGTTGAAATGAAGAGAGAAAAAAATTAATGTAATGTAGTGAAAAAAATGGGGGCCAAACGAGGGCAAGGAAATAACATTTTGGGCATAACAAATTTTTCCTATTAAGTAAAATAATAATAATAAAACCCCACCCCATCTCTTTCTTCCCCAACCCCCTCACCCCAGGTCCCCAAATCCAAAACACCCCTACCCAGCCGCCAATCGATACAGCCACAACTTCATTTTTCCATAGTGAAGAAACCAAAGCTCGCCAACAAATCCTCCACTCCCACCATAAAATTGACAAAAAAATCAAGAACAAGAATAAGAACAAATCCAAACCCAATTATCTGAATGTGACTCCAACTTCGGCCCCGACCAACAAACCAAGCTCCAATCTCTCCTCGAGGC